CTGGGGCTCTCCTGGCCCCTGACTCCCTTGCTGGGGCTGTTCCCATTGGCATGGCTGGGGCACCACTGGCCATCCCAAGACCCTGTTATTACTGGGAATGGAAATTTGCTCCCTGGGGATCTCCAGGCCTGTTTAACACCCCAAGGGCTGAAGCTATTCCCACAGCTCAGCCTGTTTGGGCTCTCCTTAGCTGATTTGCTCCCATGCCAGGTCTTGCTGGGGGCATTGCCACTGAGGGGCATTGCTGGGGGCGATGGGTCTGGTGGGACAGTCTGTGGGGCTGTACCTGTATCCCCCACCCCATGTATGTCACCAGTGCAGGGGAAACTCCCTCCAGTTTAACCCATTTCCCAGTGGGCTGGAATAAATGCTCTGTGCCAGGAGCAAGGCCAGCACTGTGTCACACTATTGCAGGTCTCCAGGTAACCAAGACCCAACTGCAGGAGGCAAGGAAGTGTTTTAAAACTTGTTAGATTTATTTAAGCTCAACCACAGCCTGCAAGAGCAGCAGTGATGCCTAGGCATTACTTAAACAAGCACAGGTGATCCGTGATGGAAGGGTGGTGACACTGCTGAAAGAAGCCAGCACAAACACAGGTAAGGCCCTATGCAAATCTAGGGAAGGCTCAGAGAGTTAAGAAGAAGGCACTGATGAATGCATTAGGAAAGCTGAGCCTGGTTTAAGGAGAGGGATGGTGAGGAGCTCTCTGGCTCCTCACCCCATGGACACACCACACAGGTCTTGGGGCAAAGTGCTGTGAACTCTGGTTGTGCAGGCACCAAGCTGTTCCCCAAAGCTACTAGTCAGAGGCATTCCCTGAGTCCCCTGGCAGAGCATGAGCTCTGTCTTGTGGGAGTGAGGTGGCAGAACCAGGCTTGACTCAAACACTGGGTTCTCTGGATAGGAGCATGCCATCCTGATCTTGGGCATGGGGCTGCAGGAGTGTGTGGATGGTAGCAGGATGCCCTGGGCTCAGGGGTTTGCACTAGGGCTGTGTGGGGTAGTGCTGGGGTGACAACACTTCTTCACTGGTGCACCCATCTCAGCATCTACCCTCAGTCACAGATAGCTTTCTCCTGGGGGTGGTGCTGGGTTGGAGCCAGCCACCTGCAGCATTGCAGGGGTGGAACGATGAACAATG